AGGTTGTCGTTTCTATTTTTTTTTTTTTTATTGTTCGTTAGAATGAAAAGAGTGTATATTTCAAATTTTGGATCAAACAAATGGCTATACGATGATTTTTTAAGATTGTTGCATCATATTACTATACAACGGTTGCATGAAATCATTGCCCAATCTTAAATATATTCATTTGACTTGTCATTGCCCAAGAGTGGAGAAACCAAAAGTAGAATATGGTCATTGCGTGCTCTAAAACTAGCCTTTTTGTGCTAATCTTCACATCATATGCTAATTAATTGGTGCAAAATACCTAAAAACTATGAGAACCAAGAAGAAATTGCGCATGATACAATGTATGATAAGGATTAATAGTGTACATGATAAATTTAAGGTAAATTTTCCCTTTTTTAGCTTCCCAATGACATGTCTTCTCCATAAAATCGCATTTACTCTACAAAAGAAGCATAGCAAAAAAGAAATAAAAGAATACTTTATCAGCCATTTGTTTTAAGCCCTTTAGAATGGAGAAAATCAACATGAAAGTGGCTTTTGTTATCCTCCTCTTGGACATGGTTACTGGTCAGTATCTTGCCCCTTCCCCTGTCGAGAAACTTTTTTTTTTTAATTATTTTTGGGTAAATTAAAAGGGAAGACAGGCCCTACTTGTTTTTTCAAGTAAATTAAGAGTTGGCTTTTTTTAAAGTATTAATGGGTGGTGTTAGTTGTGAAAATGAAAACTACGACGTGGTAACTACGGTATGAGGTGCTACCACCACGACTCCAGCCACCTTCTCAAACTTATCAAAACACTTATGACTTATCAATTATTTAATATTTTACCCATTTTCAACTATTCATATTGTGAGTTTGGTTAGGATTTTTTTAAATTAAATTAAAATGGGTAAAAGTGTTGAGTAGTACATCTCCTAGGTATATTTTATATACCTTTTATCCTAGGTATATAAAATGATGTATCGTGCGTCTGCAGGCTCGGAGTTTGCTTCGGTGTCCCTAGTCGAGGCGAGGGATGGATATCACGTGACGTGTAGTTATGACCCCCAATGCCGGAAAATGTGTCCTCCGGGTTGTAAGGCCGCCAGCTGCGCCGATGGCAAATGCTTCTGCGGCTGCATCGATAATCCCTCGGCCAAATGTCCATGCGGCTTCATGAAATAACAAGATAGAATAATGCATCTTTAAAGCACATAGATATACTCAAGAAGCAGGTCACGTTATTTTTTGATTATTTTTTTTAACCGTATCAAAAAAACACAAGCAGGTCATATTATTGATCTCTTCATGAAATAAAAAGATGTTCTTTTCTTTTGTATACTTCGTTCTGGCGTATGGACCCCGGCTCCGAATTGTTCATTTGGACCTGCAGCTGGACTGGCCAAGTAGAGCTCCTACTGGGGGCATTTTCATGACTTAAATTTGGAAACGGTTGGTTGTTATGCGGGCTAGCCTGCATAAAACAATTTTCCCTTAAATTTTATTTTTTATTTTTATTTTTGTATGGAGAAATTCAAGAATGCAGTAGCATTGGGCAACAACAACAATAATAACGACCGTAATTAATTTTGAACTCAAACGATCCCAAATATAACAATCAGCTAGTTGAAATATAAAATAAAAAGGAAAAAAATTTATATAAAGTTACAATCTTATACTATTGAAGTAAGGTGTACATCAAAAAACTTCTAGAAGAGAGTTTTTCGATGTTGGACAACCCTCCGATCGATCATCTTGACCTCGAGATGTGTGGATCATCATCATCGTCAAAGCCTTTTTTTCAACTATTTGAGGTCTTAACCTCAAGATATATGGATCATCATCGTCAACACCTTTTTTTGACTATTTGGGGTGGGCTAAATATAGACATTGAGATGTGTGGATATGACAAAAAAAAAAAGAATTTAAAGTCTTAAAAATAGTGCACTTGTAACAAATTATTTAGACGGTATATTTTCAAGTATCTATAGATTTGCTTGAATAAATTGATATTTAGATCATAATAAAAATGATTCATTATACTCCTAGGTTTGGGGTTGGCAATGGGCCTAGCCCTAGCCCTAGCCCGATCGGCACCGACCCGACCAAAGAGTCTCTAGCCTAGGACCAGCCCTGGCTGGCAAAATAAATTTTTTTTTTTAAAAAAGATGAGAAATAAGGGCCAGGTCTGCCTTAGCCCTAGCCCATGCCCAACCCGTCCCGACCTTGCCCTAGGGCCACATATTGTGGCCCAAGCCCCAACTTTTAAGGCTTGGCCACCTGGTCCATTGCCACCTTTATCTCTTGCAATGCTTAACGAATCGGGCGAATCCACTCGGACTCGACCGATTATCCTCAAGTTGGGTATCCAACTTTGGGATTTTAAAAGTAATTCCAAAAATATATAAAAAATTTAGAAAAATAAGAAATCTATTTGTAATAGATATTTTTATGTTTTCTACCATTTTTTAAAAAGATTGGAAGGTATTTTGGCTATGAATACTAATCTATATTTTTCCATCTTTTTGGATTATTTTAAAAATAACCTCAGTCACAATTTGATTTTTCAAAATCTATTTTTTACTTCTTTTTTTAACCTCATTTAGACGTATTTTGTTTAGTCTTAGTTCCTTCTTTATTTTTTTTATATTTTTAATTTTTTTAACACATTTTTTGCATAGCATGTACCTACCCGACTCGGCCAGTTACCCGAGCCTGGGCTCGGGCCCGGGGCATGGCCCGTTTGCGCAATCTAACGCCTATAGGTACAAAGAACAATGTGGATTTGGGTTCACAATCTTTGTTATTTTTATTCATTGTGGATTGTGGGTCCACAATCTTTTTTATTTATTTATCTTGGATCATCAAAATCTTCAGGGATGGTATAAATAAGGAAGCATATATATATTCATCCAAAGCATATGTTGGATACCACTTCCGTCGGTTTATTCGGGAAGATTTAGATTTTTCGATCTCAAAAGAAATTTTTTGGTAGATCAATGGGGAATATAGACCACTACCCATTTTTAGAAATAATTAACTATTTTCGATTGCGTAAGTGGGAATGAGAATGAAAACCTAAACCGGTAGCTGAGGCTCATGTGGGGCTAACACCACGACCTCAATCTCATTCCCAATCTTAAATTTTGAGAACCACTTAAAATTATTAGATAAATTTTTTAAAAGAAAAAAAATTGAATTTTGAGTTATATCGTGATCCCAAATATTGGGTAGTCTCTGTTCAATATTGAGATATTTCTTTTCCAAATGTATAGTGAGTGCAATTTGGATTTTATTGAGGTTAGGCTATGTATTAGATCCCCAAAATTTGAAGGTCCTGACTACTCCTAAATTGGGTTTTACCTGAGGCAGTCCGAAAAAGACTACTAAAAATAATCAATTACACAAGTATATCAAATAAAATTCTATTTCATCAGATGAACAATCAAATACAAGATAATCATTGATTTTTTTTATTCAGCAAAACCCATTGCACAAAATAAAATCAATGAAATAGTGAAATGTGCATATGCATGGAAGATCAAATCTAAGAGCAAACTAAAATTTATGAAGACAGAGACACTATGAGATGGAGTAACGAGGCACGCCCAATGAACGAAGAGAAATAGCTACAGATTAAGAACTTTAATGTAATTGTAAGAAGATTTATCATAAGTTTTCTACACAATGGTATAATATAGCTATAATTTTTTTTTCCTAAAAAATGGTGTAGACTTTTTAAAGATGTTTTAAACTCATACATTTTAAATTAGTCTTAAAAATGGAGAGCCCCTTCTTTGAGAAATTCATGCCAATACCCTTCCAAATTTATGTTATTTGGGAAATCCTTCTTAAAAATTGTCTTATATTCATACTCTATTATCATATTTTTTTTAATTTTCTCCCAAATTACTTGTATTTCGTACCTTGAAGATCTGAAGTTTAACATAATAATCCACCTTTAAATTGAATTCTTTTATTTAAGGAAAAAGTTTATATAAATGTGAGGCTCTAAACAATCAAATTAGGGGTCCTAAAAAATTAATTAGAGGAGGTTATTTTGATGCCCAAAATTCCTCAAATTGATCATTTCAACTTCAAGATGTACGTGCATGACAAAAAAAATGGATTTCAAGTCTTGAAAATAGTGAATATTGTAATGTATTTTTGGACCGCCAATATTTAAGATTTTCAAGAGTTTATAGATCTGTTCGATCTACACTATTTTTTAGACTGAGAATTTTATAATTAGATATGAAAGCATCACAAAAATTTTCAGTATTGAAACAATGTCTTTTGATACTATTTGAAGGTGCGCCCTACTTTGATGGTTTAGAGCCGAGGCACTAACCAATCAAATTCGAGCCTATTTCAAAAATTTCACTAGAAGAGGTTGTTTTGATACCCAAATATCTTCAAATTGATCATCAACATCAAGATACATGGTCATAAGAAAAAAATGGATTTCAAGTTTTGAAAATCGTGTATTTTGTAACGCATTTTTTTACCGTCAAATTTCAAGATTTTGAAGTTTTCATAGATCTATCGATCTACACTATTTTTGAAGTTTTAAAATTTATAAATAATTATGAGAACATATTTTAAGGCTATCACAAAAATTTCCGGTATTGAAACCACATTTCTTGACACTATTTGAAGGTAGGCTCTAATTTGATTGTTTAGAGCCTATGCTCTATACAAACCGCACCCTCAAAGTAAAGCACACCTTCAAATAGTGTCTAGAAATGTGGTTCCAATGCCGAAAATATTTGTGATAGCCTTAAAACATATTTAATTATAAAATTAAAGCTTAAAAAATAGTATAGATCGAGCATATCTATGAAAACTTGAAAATCTTGAAAATCAACCGTCCAAAAATGCGTTACAAGATGCACTATTTCCACTATTACAAACCTTGATACTCCAAAGCTTGATACTCCAAAGCTATGGTTGATAAGAACAATATCGAAGTGGAACGACCATGAAGGTTTGAAGTTGAAGTTTGAACAATTTGGACCTCCAAATTTCGAAATAAATTTGAGTTAGAAGCGTTTTGGATCTGAAGTAGGACTATTTGGTTGATCTTCATACTGTAAAAGAAAAATAACAAAAAAATAAAAAAATATAAGAATGTAAAGACAATTGGACCCGTTTTTTATGCGGCCAGCCCGCATATTGTAGAAACGCGGGCTTGGCAATAAATATATTTTTAAAATATAATTTGATATTAGTTTTTAGATAATATATAATATTTAAGATGGAGATCATGGATATAATAAAAACAAAATTAAAAGCTAGAAATAAGAATTATATTAAGAAAACATTTAGACTATTAGTTACACTTGTTTTTAAATGGACCACCTATTGGCAACCATCTTTAAGATAGATGCTTTATACCTCTCGACCGCATATTGTAGAAATGCGGTCCAACCCGTATGAAACTTCTCAAAACAATTTCTTTCGGGAAAAAGTTTATATAAGGATGCTACTTTATAATGTAGAACTACAGATGCCCCCTCAAAAATCCATCGGAAAATGTAGTTTTAATGTTGAAAAACCCTTTAATCGATCATCTCGACATCGAGATGCATGACTATGAAAAATAAAAAGATTTTAAATCTCAGAAATAGTGCATTTTACAACATATTATCTACACCGTCCATTTTCAAGATTTTCATATGTTTATAGATCCACTTGATTTTAATTATTTTTTAAATTTAAAACTTTATAATTAGATATAAAAATAGATATTGAGATAACCCTATTAACATTTTATATCAAAATTATATACCATGATAAAATATTATGGGCACCGTACCTCCACACCTACGGGGGCGTCCGTATGCCAACTGCACCTTTTCTTTTGACGTATTCATCTAGTTATTTGTGAGTAATGATCCTACGAGACCATCCCACACTCATGTATGTAAGACCTCAAAAAATCATCATTAAATTTGACACAGATCTTTATAAAAATTATCACATGGATTTGACTTTTCTAGAGATCTATGTCAAATTTAATAGTAATCGTTTAAGGTCCTAAACACATGGTTGCGGAAGAATATGATAGGATCATTACTCTTTATTTATTTATAATTTATATTTTTATTTTTATAAAATATGTGTCTTCAAAAATGCCTCAAAGAGAAATGTAGGTTAAAATCCCTAAATTATTGTTATTAAAGTCTAAATTTTTCTATTTTACAGATATGCGCTTTCTCTCTCTTCCGGATACCGAAAGGCAAGTCTGCCCTGCTGGCCTTTGGATCGTGATCCAAAGTGTACACCCATCCTCCCTCTCTCTTTTCCACTCAATAATGCAACGAACTAAGTGCGCATCCTATGGACTAATATATATTTACTTGACATTCTTCGCATTTGCAGAGATCATTGTTTCTTGACAAGCAAAAGATGGGGGATGTATTAGCTCAACTAGAGACCAACCTCCGCTGCTCCAAGGTATTTCAAACATTTCTCTGTGATTTGGGTTTGCGTTTTCTCCCCCATATTTTTTTGTTGTTTTCATGGCTTCACTTGAAAATATGAGATGCCTAACATGGTTCTTGTAAATAAAAACGCGAGTCATTCTCTCTCTATGCACCCCAAAAGCCAAAAATCATCTTCTCTCTTCCTCTCTCAATCACCCCAAATGTCCATATTTTGTCTCCCTCAAACCCCACGGACCTAAATCCTTCATTTCCTAAAGTACTGGTTCTGCTTTCTTCAATGCGCATAAATAAAAATGTCACATTTTCACCATGTGACGCATATTGTATATCTTTTTTGAGGTGGAGATAATAAGGAACACACCAGTAGGATCAGTTATAACCAAGAAATCTGGATAAAATTCTTTCACCATTTCTCCCCGTGCTGAAATTTCCAGACAAGAAGGTTTTCCTACTGAAATTAGATGGTAACATGTGGATTTTTGGGAGGCTGAGATTTTTGGTTTAGATTATCAAATAGGAAAATGGTGGATGGATTCTCAGTGGGACGTAGAATTTGTGCACCGTAAAATGAGTTTGGGGTTCATTTAGATAGTCTCCAAGTTTATATTTCACGTACATAGAATGTGTGGTATAGGTCAAATTCATATCAGTAATCAGCACTCATGTGTATTAGTTTCTGAAGGGGAAAAGGTTGAAGGTACAGTTGTTATGTTAGGTTTTCATGGGTGAAAAAGGAAACGAAGTGTTAATGAGGAATCACATTTGTCTTCTATTCCATCAGTGTCTTACCCTTAAGAGAAAATATTTGGGAGCCCATAATATTTCTATTAGCTAGATTTTATACTCTGAGATCTATTGAATATGCAGAATGACAGGCTCTGATAAAATTTTAAATGTTGAAGATTTCGGTTGTGTTTGATTGGTTGAGGCACATTGATGGTTGCAACACTAGCTCACATGTTTGAATCTAACTGCTGAACTACCCTGCAAAGGAAAATCAGATTTATTTTATTTTTTTTGATGTTTCCTACCTAGTTATTTTCCTAGAGAATTGTCAATTTGATGCACTGTTAGTTATAATCTACAAAATGTTGTTGGAACTACAAGCTGTACGACCTCATTAAATATTCAAAGGACAACATCAGATATCCTAATACTCTCATTACATCCGTTGACTTAATAAGCAGTGTTCTTGTGGAGCAGTAAACATGACAATTTATGATAGTTCTTGAAGCATGATGTCATGTTTTATAAGTGTGGACTCATCATTTTAAAGGAATGTTGGTTAGTTTTTTTTGGAACTGATAAGAAAAAGGTATTTTAGACTTTTAGTTTTATGATGAATGTCCTTGTGCATGTAAGTTTACTGTGATGGAAGTAGGCAGAAGGTTGAGGTATTTCTCAACATTTTTGGCATGTCCGAAATGTGTTTGCAGAATCTGATTTTAGAGCACCAATTTGTCCAAACTGATATATGCTTTGTTGATTCTTGGTAATGTTGTATCTCCAGCATAAACTTACCCAAGAAGAGGAGCATGTCCTGAGAACATGCAAGGCAAAAGCAGTTAGAGATTTCACATTTAGTGCCTGTGTGGCATCTGGAGTTGTGTGGACAGGTAAATCATCTCGAACGTCACAATATTCGGGTGTCATGACAAATTACCAACATTGCCAGTATCCAGTATATATGAGTTAGATGTTAACCATTTATGCATTTTTCTTTCTCTTTTTATTTTATGACTTAAAATTGCAAATTCAAGCATGGGCTTAGGAAGAGATAGAAAGTGTGAGCTTAGGAAGGAAAAAAGAAAAGTGTGAGGAATTGAGTGGAGATGGGCAGTGAGGGGCCGTCCACACTCTCATTCTCACTACTCTCATATCCTTTCCCTGCCTTTCTTTCTTTTGTGCAACTTTATAGCTTTTTTTTAGAATAGTAACTTGCATAGTGAATTATAGTGTTTTTCCATATTACTTTTGGGAACGTTGAAAAAGTTATGCAGACCCAAAATACATGCTCTAAGATTAATTATTCGTTTGCACGTATCTTGGCTGATGACTTGTATATTTGATACTAGGATATGAGATTTAGCTCTTAAATATCCTTTCGAAACCCTTGGATAACGTTTAGTTATAATGATCTTGATAAATCTTGATGATGTCTACTGATCATAAAACATACTGGATTACTATATTCTCGTAGACACTTCAGCATCCTTTACTCACTTCTTATAAACAGGACTTAGCTTGACTTTTCATAACCTTTCAACAGTCCTCATGAGGAAAAGGCATACATATTACCTTCTCATTGAATCTATGGCACCTTCCCATTTTCTTCATCAGTCTTGGGTCAAAGTTTGCGATAAGAAACAAGATAACTCTTTTATTCCCGTGGAACTTCTAAAAGTTCGTATGATACAGATGTCGTCTAGAAATGTTTTTAATTGATTCCCCTAGTAAGCTGGCACTGGGGGTTTTAATAATAAGGTGGAAGGGGCAGATCCAGATGTAATCCAAGGGTCCTATGATTAACTTTTGTGTAGTGATGATGTTTCCGGTGTTTGATTCCGGCATACATGTTTTACCTAACATATATGTGGGTCTTTTATCTTTTCCTCTTTCGATTCATCCACACTCATCAGCCAGGATCCCGTGAAAATTGTCTCTCTTATGAGGAGGAACCTCCCCCTAAAATATGAGTTTCCCTTGTATGGCATTAGATGTCCAAACAAAGGAAACACATAAAGCAAGATCTGCTATGAGATTCATTTCCAAAATGTAGTTATTGCGTCAGTTGTATAGCATCTGATCTCTATTTCGATGGGCATAGCCAGTAACATTCAAACCTCTTATATCTAGTCCTAGAGCTCAATGATTATCTCCGGTTGTATCTGTTCGATTGATCTATCTTATTTGTTTCTTATTGGTAGTGGCTTATCATGTTGTTCACAATGCAATCAAATGTTTTGATTATTTGCGACCTATTTCATAACTTCAACTGATTGATACAAAATACTTGAACTTGTGTATAAGAGATCTTGGTTTGGTTTCTTTCAGTTTGATTAATGTGCCTTTTCTTGTGTGTGACAGTGACACGCAATCTCACTTATGGATTTCGGATCAACTTATCTGGTGGTTAGTAGATGCTCCTCAGAAGCCTGCGAATCTTGACTTCTATTTTTATTGTCTGTGAATCAAAACCACCGGAACTGTTATTGGGAATTTCTTTTGTTTTCACGATTAGATTATAGCTCTGTGGAACTCGTCAACAATAGCCTTAGAATTGGCTGTGTCTAGCTCGTACTATAAGTTTAGATCCGGTCCTATATTAGCTTAGGGAGATATGGCTGTTCATCTGATCAATCATACTCGGTTAGTGATATATTTTGATTCGTTTTACTTCCTTACAAACACATAAATTCTCATGGATAAAAAGCTTGCACTATTGAATACTGTTAATTCTGGTAATTATGGCTTGTTCTCTGTTCAATTTAGGGACATCTGCTGCAATCATTTGGAATGCACCTTAGGCCAGCCTTGTCTAGGATAAAAAATTATGTGTTTTTGGGGAAATTGGTGACGGAATATATTGCTGATGTAGCCACCAAAAAGAACAAAAATATATATATATAGTTATAATTAGGAAGTTTCTTAACACTTGTTATGAAGGTATTTGTTCTACTTTGCAGGAGCTGCTGTCCTATCCGGGATGTGGACATTTGATAATTCCCTGAATTCATGTCTCGATCATATTCTTGCATTAGAGGGAAGCCGCTTACAGACGGAGCTAGCAAAACTGTAGTTTCTCTGCTCTAGCTTTTATTTCACTGAGACTAGTAAGCATGTAGAATTAGGAGTGATAAGGACTGGAAGGCTCCACAAGAACCTGCAAAGTACTTTATTAACCCTTTGATCCTCTTCTGAGACCAACTAACCCCACTTTTCCTAATTGGATTTCTGGACATCTTCATCAGATGACCAAAACACAGTATATTTCCTTCGTGAAGTGTCCAAAACATCTTCTGGCTTTGTACTTTTTTGGAAATTCATGGATACCGATATCCTCAAAAACATCCATCTAGAACTCTGATAATTTCCTAAAAGCCTCAAATGCCCCCACTCTAGCAGGAGCCACCATATAACTTGTAGGGTTTCCTTGAGCTCTGAGTTTCCCATTGTGGTTTTAGTCATTATTATTCAGATGAGCTACTGAATTGTGTGAGGAATTGCTTTGACAGGATTGTGACAAAGCATCAAGATAACCCTTGGAGAATGAGACTAATGAGTAAATATTTCTATCCTGAGAAAGTTTTTGATGACACTAACCTGGATTCACCAATATCAAGGTGGCGCCACAGGCACTATTTTGGGGAACCTGCTGCACATAAAACTAGTGAAAGCACTGAGAAGCGGGACAAACAAGAAGTTCTACCCAAACTGTTCACCGTTAAGTATTTTAAGCACACCCTAAAGATGCATTGTTTTTATCCACACTATTCATGAAAATCTGGAAGAGTTTGGCGGGGAAGGGGGGACCGACTTTAAGGTTGGCTTTGGTAGATATTGAGTCAGAAGCAGGTAGCCAAGAATATAGCTGTTTTACTCAAATCTCTTTATATTTTATACAGAGAAGTCCTGCTGAAGACGTCATTGCTGATCCCTTTGATTGTATTCTCGGGTATTTGGGGACCAGTGAGGATACAAGCAATGAAACTATCACTATCTCACCAAGAAGGCGTCCGCGTACACGTAAACACCGGCACCGATTACGACACCCAGCTTCCTCAGCGGAGTATGCAAGCCCTTAGAAATAAGTGAGATTTGTCTTGGAGCAAATTTTTTTCGGACTTTTTGGCAACAAAGGTCCCAAAATGTATCCAATTATTTGTTAGGTTTTTTGTGTAGAAGTACAGGAGTGCTTGCATATTGATATACGCACATGCATACATATTTGTATCATATTTGTATTTGGAGTCAAGATGATTTTTTATCTGTTTACTTTTTCAGATAATATAACTCTTTTCATTTATTTAGTAGAAAATCTTCCATAGCTCAACTACATTGTGATGTCTTCCACCACATACTCTGTACAGGTTTGTTCAACATGTGTTCCCGTCTCACTCACATGCACCTGGTTCAGATCTGCTAAAGAGCAAAAACTTATAAGAAGAAAAAGAAGGCGATTATCGGTTGACACCAACCGAGCATGTTTAAACACCTAGATATGGAGGTTTCTCCTGCTATTTAGTTATAATGGAACATAATTATCTATGAGAGATGAATGAATATGCATGATGGTTTCAGTTGACATGTGCCTATGATGAATATGTATGATCCCTCCATTTTCCTATTAATACGAGAGAGAGAGAGAGATTGTAACCGAGTGATCTGTGCTGTGATTGATGGTATCGTCTCCGCGAGACCTCATGCAGGAAAAAAGTCCTTAATTTACAGGATATTTGTCCAATAGCGCCATAAATGGTTGAAACTTTATTTTCGGCCAGGTCTGGTGAAGCGAGTGACCCATTTCCCTGACTTTTTTTTTTAGTTTTTTAAAAAATCAACTTTAAATTAAGGCACATTTCTACTTTTTTCGAATTTTATTTGTTTTCTACTGACAGCAGAGTGGGTTTGCGAGGGTACCAATGGCCTTGCACGCGTTGTAGTTAACTTCCTTATTGCCACTTTTATACAGAGACCAACCCATTGAATTCCATTATTCGCAGATGCCTCATTTCCCACCTCTCCGTGATGTCAGATGCCCATCCCATCCCCTTCGTGATGGGTCTTAAAGCTCTCTCTCTCTCTACTTGTTAAGCAAAAGCAAACATATTCCAGATGGGTCTCAAAGCTCTCTCTCTCAGATTTAGAGATCAATAATACCTCTCCCACTCTCACAAAAGATTTTGGGGTCCAGGATGGCTCTCTAGAATTAGAGGTCAAGGATACCTCTCTCTCTCTCTCTCACTCAGAGAACTGGAAAATTTTAAAATACACTACAGAACTGAATTTTCAGAGCATAGAAATGTATTACAGATTCATGCTTTTCATGAAACTGCTTCACAATTTATATACCAAATTATACCATCAACAATCTGAGTTTGATTTATTTTACAAAAGTGCACACTTCAAAAGTTGCAAACTGTACAAAATCACAGCAGCAACATTCTGCACTGCTATGGCCCCTATAATTATTTCTCCCAATAGGAAAAAAACAAAAAGCAAAAAAGAAGAGGCTAAAACCACATCGCACTCCTTTTGAGCATTCATTCATCTTATCTTAGTGCTACAAAAATCATATTAACTTTTTTTTCTTAAATTTCACAGTTCATGGGATCCAAAAATCATGGCGCAGAATTTACAGGAATTTCTTGGGGCATGGGTGAACTCTGGGCATCCAATTGCTGGGAGACAACAAGCTGTTGCAACGGTTTCAGTGCCGATGCGAGCTGTGCAAATGAAGGTCGCAAGTTTGGATCACTGCATAAGCAAAATTAAGCATATCATCTTCTTATAATCTAAGGAATGACAAAGGAAACAAAACTCTCTCCCGCTCTCTCTCTCACACACACACACAAACACAGGTGACAAAATATCATTTTCTTCCAACATAGCCTACAAAGAAATTATGGGAACATATATACGAGATGTAGAATTAACATAACACATAGTTTAAAGAAAAAAGAAACTAAGACTATAATAGGATCAGATGCGCCTCTCTCTCTCCATCCACACATGCATGTGAAGGTGTAAGCAAGACGACCACATTCTGAAATGTCTATTACCAAAATTCACCAGATAATGGGTACCATCCATGGAAACTATAGTGCGAGTGATGCTTGTGGAATGAGAAAAGCAAACAGTCCAAGTGAATTATTCCAGCACATTTTGGGGTTTTTTTTAGCGCGATAAATTATATAAATATATGCAAAGGCAGAAAATTCTTACGTTTGCCAACACTCCCAGATGATCCTAGCAACCAAGGGATCAACTTCTTTTGGAATGTCGAGGCGGCGATTTTGGAAGCCTACAGCACCGACCACCTGCATTGGGTTCATCCCACTCCATGGCATTCTCAATGTTGCAAGCTCCCATAATATAATACCAAAGCTATATACATCACACCTGATAAAAATTAAGAACACAATATCACTAGCTATCCTGTCTTATATATCACATGAAAGAGGGCATAAAACCCACTACGTTTTTACAGAAGGGATTGACCAAAAAGAAAATACTAAGATCCCCAAACAATGAATTTGGCTACCGATTGAAAGGGAACATAATTTTTAATGTGTGCCTGCTTTGCAAAGGAGATGAGGAAACAAGAGATCACTTGTTCTGAACTGTCCTTTGGCATTTGGATGTGGGCTCTCAATCCGCTGGGGTTTTCATTAAATATTGAACAGATATTCCACGAACATCTTAACTTACCTCTATTACCAAAGATTGGGATGTTAATTTGGAAATTCTTTCATGCAGCAATTTTTATGGGAAACATAGAAAGAAAGAAATAGGAGAACTTTTCAAGGTGACCTTTTTTATGAGAAAGGTTAAGTCAAAGGATTAGGTATCTGTAAGGAAGGAGTGCTCTGGGTTCTTATAACAGGTTTGATTTGCAATCTCAAGGAGGTGGTCATAATGGAATATATTAAGAGGAGAGATGTGGGACAGTGGAAACCTCTTCCTTTTGGTTCGATTAAATTGAACTTTGATGGGAGCTCTGTTGGTGATCCTGGGACTGCTGGCTTTGGGGGTTTAATTTGGAACTACAATGATAATGTTTTGGTTACCATTTCAGGGCCATGTGGTGTTGCAACGGCTGATGAGGGCTATCCTTCAAGGCCTTAGATAATTGTAGAAAAAATATTAGTAATATGATGCTGGTTGAAGGTGACTCACTGAATGCAATAAGATGGTGCAGAGGTAATAAGATGGTGCAGAGGTGAGCAGAAAATCCCTTGGGAATCAAGAACAATGATCTTTTGAAATTCAGGATATCTGTTCTAGATTGGTGGTGTCTTTTGTAAATGTACATAGGGTAATCAATGAGGATGCTGACAATCTTGCCTTGCCAAGCAAGGGGTGGGTAGAGACAATTTGGAGGTGATCTGGATGCATAGTAAGGTCGATTGAGTTTATTTTGAGAAGTATTTTTGTATTTGATTATCTAATAAAATTTTGGTAACTTAGTTCTCTCATAAAAAAAAAAAGAGTGCTCAGGATGTTGTTAGAGATTTCTCTATTTTTTTATAATCAAAACATTGTTCATCCACTTGATATGGTTCTTGACTGTTCTCAAAAGAGGAACATCTTTGAAGTATGAGAAAATGCAGAAAGACCATTGGGCTAACTGAGCAATAGAATTATGTTGTTGACAATAGATGTAACAAATCACAAGTGTGCATGTTCCATGCACAAAGCACATGATATAGATGATAAAACTCACTTCTCATTGGAGGGTTCATTGCGCAGAACTTCTGGTGCCATCCACTCCGGCTAAAACATGGAAATGGTATCAGTAAGACAGGTATCCAAAAAACATACCCAAAATTTACAAAATTAAGAATTCAAACATCATTCAACAATGACAAAATTGGCGGATAAGGAAGGTTGTCCTATTCATTATACCGTTCCTGCAGTGGACTTTGATGATAGAAAAGTGTTGTGCTTCATACGTGACAGGCCAAAATCACAAACCTGCAAGAGTTTTTCAGTTAGTGGAACCTGGACATTATTAGAATAATCAAAATTGATTCCTCATTAATCCCAGAACATGACAAGGCTATGTGTAGAGAAAGTTTAAGGGAAATAGAAGTGCATTTTTTTGTACAATGCATGGAGTCAAAACCGAAGTTATCTTAAAGGAAGAGACTTCGACAAGTTTCCCTGATTATACAAGCTCTAAAGCCAAGATCTCAACCATGAATACTAGAAACTTAGTCCAGAACTAACACCCAAACTAACCAAAATTTCAACATCAACCCAATGACAGCTACACTTATATCCACTAAAAACATCTCCAGAGGCCCTCTCCTTCAACCCCTCTAAAATATGCCCAAACCCCCTATTCTTCTAATTTCTCTATACCCATGACAGCAACACCCCCATCCCCTACAGGTATATCCCTGCAATCATGCACTGTTTACGCTGTGACATTATCCAATTAACCACTCAGTCACGCCCCACTCAAAACACAAGGAACCATCACCACTCCAAATATCTTTGAGATCTTTTTAGCCAATGAAGTTGGCACAGTAAGTGCTCTCCCCAACGACCCTGATAAAATATCACTTCTGCCATCTTCCTTTTGACATCACAACCATGAACTAAATGGATCATCCACCCTTTTTATGTAGCCAAATTACCCTCCATATACACTATATTTCTCAAGAACATCTTTAGGTGTATGTGACTAATTTCATCATCATCATCGGAGCCTTTCCCAACTAATTAGGGTGGGCTGCACTAACCCTGGTCTGCCATTCTGCTATATGAAGAGCCATACTCTCAGTGAGACCGTAAGTCCCCATATCTTTAGATGTGACTACTTTCAAAACCTTAATTGCGAGAAGCACCAAATAAGATCTCTACAATGTGGGACACAAGAAATCATGGTTTGCATTGGTCTCCAGACTTCAAGTTCCTCTGAATCATTTGTTTAATAGTGGTAGAGTTACCCACAGTCGAAATGGTAACTTGATTCACAACTCTCAGATCATAACTTAGTTTTCAAATGTTGTCGTTTGACACCGTCTAATTAGCGAGCTCTAATTTTTAACCCAAAAAAAAAAACTCAGAGAACCTTGTATTTAGATGGCATTGCCTTGCCCAAACCAATGCTTCTATAGTGATCCAAAGGAACTCATCTTGAAATCGTCTATTCACCTGTCTTCTGCTCCACTCCCAAATATGATACCTATAAATTCCCAGTAACTAAGTTCCAAACCTCAATGTGATTTTGTAAATCAACTGCCACTCATTTAGTTCCAATGAGAGGGGTTCTTAATATTTAATTGTAGTTTCAATTGATAGCAGCATGAATGTGCAAGGTATGACTGGCAATGTCGCAGGAACTGCATCATAACACCTAACTCTACTAGACTCTCTTTAAAATTGATCTATATAAACAACATACTTAGGTCACAGGGCATTTAACTTTCATGTGGCTGAACAACAAAAATCAATCTGAATTTTTTTACTTTGTTTTATGTTGCAACAAGCATCAGATTTAGACCAACCATATTTAGGTATACTTTTCAATGCAGCTAAGATAGTAAATTCAACAGCACATGCAATTTTTCAAGAATGGGTGATCACCAAAAAAATAAAGGACAAACCGACCTTAAAATCAACAAGCAACCACCCAATGGAATAGACATGATTAACCACTTCCACAGAGAATTTCTCATGGCATACAACATACCTTAACATTCCAGCTCCTGTCAACAAGCAGATTTGGTGACTTCAAATCACGATGGACAATAGTTGGCGTGCTACTATGCAAGCAATTCATTCCCTTTGCCTGCAATACAAGGTGGGCTCGTCCCTTAGGAGAATTCGAATAATAGATGCAATAGTTTATTTTTTCATAATAGCAGAGATGGTATCATGGTCACTTAGGTCATACCACATCAAGTGCCATTTTTATTCTGCGTTTCTCATCAATCTGACAGTTTGGACGATGAAGAAGCCTGTATAAGCTTCCCCTACATAAATAAAAGAACCGCAACATTAAACCAAAACAAATTGACAATTGAAAAAAACATAAGCATGAATGTAATTGCAATTCAAGTAAAACAAAACGACTGAAAGGCTGTAATTTCCAATACATTCTCAAATCCATTACATGGATGAACCGTGTTAAAAACATCACAAATTAATTGTAGCTTCCCAGAAAAAATGTTTTTCTTCATTATAAAGCGCCTAATGGAAACTGAAGAAAACAAAACACAGGGCCTCATGTGATATACTAAATGGTTTTAAGTTGAGATGAATCAACCAAAGAAACAGAGGTAAAACGAAGAAATATTGAAGAGCCTAAACAACAGCAAGTTGGAGAAATTATTTAATTGGTTATGGATTTGCTTAGAAGGAACACACATCTACAGTATACCTCTCCCCTGACTTATTAATAAGTGAAAAATGCTACAAATATAGAGATGCAAAAAGTACATGGCTTGTAACTCTTAAAAGGAGTGTGAATTCATTCCAAATTGTTCAACACTTATCTACATGCATTTTTTACGAGAAAATTTTCAGTTATCTTGTTAGCATCCCAAGGAATGGGAAAAGAGCAAGTCCGTAGTTTACAATCATAACTGCAAAAACAAACTCATTCCATAATGGTGGCAACAATATCACGTCATTAATAATCCCTAATTTGAGATGAAAATCTTCCACTCCTTTACAAGCCTCACAGCGCAGTCTAATACAAGTAAAATCAAGAGCGCACAGGGCGAACCTCACAATGAATATTAACTTCGACTGCAACAGCAATAACTAGGTCATAAAGTGTACCACAAGCAATCATCTATAGGCATTAAGCACTTTTTTTCTTTTTTTAGAAGGAAAAGCTTTTGGATCTTGAAATTCTAAATATTAAGGATTGCATATCAAATAATGTCAATGTAAATTCTGGTGATCGAAGCGTCTCAGAAGGATAAACGATGCAAATAACTGAAAATCCATCTGAGATACCTTGGAAGGAATTCAGTAACAATAGAGAGGTTAGGCGGACGAGTTACAGCACCCATGAAAAGTACAACATTTGGATGGCGCAACCTGCGCATTATTCTCACCTGACATAACAACCAAAAGCAGGTTCATCACTAATGCTTTATCGTGACCCACAAATGAGATTGAATCGAAGAAAAAAATAAGTATAGAGACAAACAGGAATGCAAAAAATACTATTGTGAGCATCAATCGCAAAAGGCAATTTTCAGTTTTTCACATACTTCACTTCTAAATTCTTCGATTGCATCCCCTGAAAAATCTTGATCTAAGAACTTCTTGACAGCCACTTCCTGTGAAAGAGAAGAAAATAAGAGCTGCTTTAGAAAATATGAAAAGTAGAAAAATAAAATTCTAGAAAGGATAAATATCACGAAGTTCATGAAGCTCCCGAAAAACATTCATGAAGTCCATTCCCCACAGAGACAACAATAACATTCACAAAGCTCAATACATATTAGCATTTAAAGTTCACACAAAAGAATCACATAGATATTTCAAAAGAAGAAGCTTAGCTATCACAACCTAGGTCTCAATTTAAAAAATAAAAAAAACTATTTCTCACAAAAATATCATTATAAACATTTCATTCAAAAAATGATTGGCGTTTTAAGAGATCACCTAAGAGCAAGATATAGATAAAGAAATTTACAGCTAACTGTTCTAAATCCAGGACCACAACTCGGTTACGAAGATCCAATAAAGAAAGGAAAAAAAAGTAGATTCACTTCTTGCTATTAAAAATTAAATATTTGAAAATAACATTAAGAAGATTCTCATCAACAACACAAAGGAAAAGAAAACCATTGTTCTATTTGATGGTAAAATTTCAAGTCATCAACTTACCGTGCCATTCCAATCTGCATGGTACACTTCTCCATAGGAACCTAACACATGAAACAATGGAAAATATTACACGCTCATAATATTTTTACTCAATAAAGGCTGAAAGTAGACTTCGGATACAAAAAGAACTCAAAAGGAAAGGTGAATCTAACTACAAAAACAAAAACCAGTAGCAGAAGAAATGGCAAATATTGAATTTTTCAAAAGCAAAGAAATTGATTTCAAAGAAATAAGTAGGATGAATCACATCATCTGAAGCTATATTTAAAAAAGAATTCAATCAAAAATAAACCTCAGACAGCAATAAAAGTCTTTTAAATTTTTAAAGTTTTTGTAAGCCCAACAAAAGTAAGAGACGCAGAACATTATGTTAGAAGCATAAATTTCAAAATGTTACTCATTAAAACCCAATGACCTCAACGGTTAATTACTTTAAAAGGGTTTTTGCAAAGAGTACACAAGAAAGGCAGGGGCCCAGAAAAAAACAATTATATAGGAAAATAAATAAAGATTAAAACAAAACAAAATATATAAAAAATCAATCATGAGATTGCAAAAATACATACAGCACAAATAAGATCAAAATTCAATCTTCAAAACAGATACAAGTTCAATAGAAGTGCAAGGTTACCTAATCCAATCCTTTCGCCCACAACAAGGTCTTCCCATGGGATTTCCCATTCTGATACATCGTCTAACATTGGATCTAGTCTGCTTAAACCTCGACGAACAGGACCTGGATTCTCTTGGTCATTTGAAGTCAATTTTGGCTCCATGAATCTATCATTGGTGCATTTTCTCTTATCAATATGGTATTTTCTGTTTCTTGCAGGTTCTTTTGATTCATCTACCACACCATAATTATCCATAGCTATTCCATCTCCAGGATTACCCATAGGCCGATTATTTCCAAGAGCCAATGGATCCAAAATCCCATTCGATGGTGAGTATGACCGCTCGACTCCAGCAGAACCACCCACACAAGATAATTCAGTGCCCCCAACTTTTGAAGATATCGATGAGTCCCCACTATCATATGGCATATTTACAACATTACCCACTGAAGTATTTTCTGTGTCATTATCAACACTGCCTGTCCTAGAAGAGTTTAGAGAACCTAAAGCCTGAGGAGTACGGAAAACCGAAGAATCTAGCTCCCCATTTTTAGAAGCATCTGAGTTCATCAGAGATGCTGAAGCATTTGCAGCTTTTATGTCCACATTGTTCCTTGGAAACAACCCCTCCCCAGATTCCTGTTGCTTTGTTCTAGGAATCTCATTGCGGTTCTTCCATGCTAAAGGAAGAGGTGGTCTACCAGGACCCAAATAGATGTTCTCTCGACGCCGCTGATATTCAAAGATTTTCTTCTCACCAACTTGATTCTGGGCTGGGATTTTACCAGCTCCAGTCTTTTGGAATGGATTGAGGTCAGCAAATAGATTTTCTGAGTCCATATTATCCTGAGTAGGTGGCACCACGTTCCTTTTCTCATTCACACCATCACATACTATAGAGCTTCCACAGTCACCTCTTTGCTTGGAAGAAGAAGTTGCCCCTGCAGAGGAAGAAAGCTGGAAGTCTTGATTAACTGGTACTACACCTTTCAAAATCCCATCAGACCTGTTTCCATGATTCATAGAAATTGCCCCACCATTAGGGCTGGGAAGAGGCAACTGGGAAACCACTTTTCCAGTTCTTGAACTCACATCTAAAATTCCATTATTTCTCATGATGGGCACTTCGTTGGAGGTTCTACGATCCCTATTGCGGTCATAACCTGTCCTTGGGAGCAAGTTCCTATTTGATCTCTGGTCATCCATAGGAACATCTTTTGCTGGTAGAATGTCAGCAGGAATAAGCGTTCCAGGTGCTCCCATTAGATCCACCAAAAACTCCCTATTGCAAAAAAAAAAAGAAAAGAAATTAGAATGAAACCTGCCATAAGCACCAAAATATTTAGACAACCCGAGATTGCTTAATCCATAGAGGTATAGAGGAAGCCCTAAGGATGTCCCTTATTCTATTTGAACAGACCAGTAACACAGTTCACATAAATAAACATAAGTGCAGAAGACAAAAACCCTTTAGAACTCAAAAATATGCCTCCAAAAAGTGTGAGCTCTCAAACTGCCCTTTTTTATGGTCCAGCACCCTTTAAATATCAATAGCAGAATGTGTGCTGAGATAGTACACCTGCACTAAAACCAATTCCTAATGGAAAATCATCTCTGTGCCCACTCCCCAACCATCCCACAGGTGTTTTTAGTGTTTAACTGAGAACTTCAGAGATGCAACTTCTCAAGAATATCCACAATCTAAATAAAAACAGAAAGGAAAAATAATCATAGCAAGTGAATCCCTCACTCTAGGGGTCCCCCAGTGATCGTACTTCCTGTGCCATTAATGTAAACCCCTTTTCAGATTTCCAAAGGTGGCAACATAAAAGAGAATCCCATATTGAAATCAAGTCAAAGGAGTTCAAATCAAACTAAATAAGCAAAACAGTAAACTATCAATGAGTGACCATTCACAAAAAGGAAAGGTAAACAACAATGTCTAACAAAATAAGTAAGAGTAATGGCTCCAATTATAAACCTTTGATCCTCCGATTTGATAATGACGACTGCACCGTCATCAATACCAGTGTAGAGGCTTCCTTTAACTAGTCTGCACAGGATACCAACTGTATCAGCTAACACCTGCAATTAGGAAGAAGATAATTTTGTTGTATAAATGAAGAGGATTTAAAGTTAGATAGGATAAATCTTGATCAAATTAATCCACTCAATATGATAAAATACAGCTGAAAGATCATGAAGAATTACACCACAGATATTCTCAAGATCATGAAGCTTTTTCTTGTTTTAACTGTAAGGTCATGAAGACTTGCTCATCTAAAGTTCGGTAACTTCTGTAATCATTTTTTATTTTTGGAAGGAAATAGATATTCCAAACTATTTACAGTTCCAATGGTCCAGAGTACCCATTCGGTGCCTAACGACACGTATACATGATTTAACTTGGAAGGTTTAATAGAGTTAAGACAGCATAATTGTAAATTATCAGAAGTAAAATTTAGCCTAGGTTGTAACAGTAACAACAAATACTATGATCCCTCTCAAAAAGAATTTAAGCCTGATAATGACATTTTGTATATCATCATGGTTTAAATTCCGATCAAAATATGAGGCTTGAACTCTATTGCCCGATCACAGTGAGGCACTGAAAGGTATCACTGTATGTGCTGTTTCCAACACATGTACATTAGATCTTAATAGATGATCTTACATTACTAAATGTCCAGTTAAATGTTCCCTAACATTCTAAACAATTTAACAAATAAGAAACAGAGTTTAACCGACAGAATCGACTACAGGGTTCTTGCTAATCAAACAAGCTAAGAATAATCAGAAGGAATCATAACGTCCAATTTTGATTTAATAATGGAAAATGATGATAAGAGGCTTCTTCAGTGCCAAAAGGTTGGAAATAACTTAGTTACATGAATGAGAGAAACAATTTTAACACGTAGTTAAGTTTACATTCTTTGGTAAATTATACTCCACAATCACAGTATGTCCAGTTAGAAGTTCACAATAAACATCATTGAAGTTCTAAGACAATGTGGCTTCACTTGTATAGATTTCTGATTGATTAAACCACCATAATGCCTTGTCATGTTACTCATGTATAGGAAAACTCAAAAATTCATGTCTCCATATTTTCGCTAAAACTAACTTCTATCATAAAAGAATGATGGGTATGCTGATTTCAACAGATAACAACCTTATCAATTGTGTTTAACCTAAAAAACACAAGACTTCTATTTGGGTTTAATACTATTGATGTTTAATATTGCAACACAGCTGTTTAGATAAAGGATTGTACTTATGATTCTGGAATGGATCCCATAAATCAGCACATCAAAGTAAGTTTTGCATGGTGCAAAGATTTCTAAGAGATGATTGTCCATTGAGCATGCAAAATACAAAACGACCAGAATATATGTTAACGGAAATGTAAAGACTTACCTTGAACAGCAGAGCCCTGTGACGTGAAATCCCTATCTTCAAACACCCAATGGGATAAATATTAGTGTGCAGGGTAGCTTGCAATTCAAAACTTCTTTCCATCCATCTTGCCAGCATATCATTGGCATCTCTGACAGGCCCCCCCATGTGTTCCGAAACAAGATCAGCAATCCTTTGGACCAACCCACAATTCAATAAGCCAACCTCAGGTGCATGGCAATCCAACGCAATACAGCGTGCAACTTGCTCCATCTCATCAAGAGCAGGATCAATAGCACGATTCACTATTACAACTTCATAACTAGAAGCACCAGTAGTCATCTGAAGATCAACAAGAGAGGGCATCCCTTGGGAAGATGGATCAGCTGAAAGCCCATGTATGTCATAAAACCCATCCAGCACTTTGTCCTCATAATCTAGAACATCATAATCCTGCAACAAAGCACCGCATAAACAATTCCTTAGAGCAGATGAACTGACAGAGAATGAAACGAGACATTTTTTGCTTTGACAAGCTTAAAAAAATTAGCATACACCTAGTTCGAAAAAAATAGTTTAATGAAAATCCTTCCTTATAATGATTAAAAAAAGAAAAGAAAAAAAGAGAGGCCAGAAAGGAGCTGAACAGATTCAATTTTCTCAATCATTTAGATTTTGGAAAATATGCTCCCAAGTTTCTTCTAGAAATATCATTATGCTATCCATGGAAGTAGAAATGTTGGGTTTCAGGGATAAACTTTCTTGTACCTATCTAAGAATAAATAAGGATAGCAACTATCAACGCTATACGTAACTGCATAGAGAAATCGACATTGCAAATATATTATTATAAAAATACAAATATCACAAAAGCCATTGACAACCAAACACACACAACTCCAAATAGAAAATAAATAATAAAACAAAAAGAAAATGCCAACTAGAACAACCACACAAAATTGCCTTGCAAACATCCATTAAAGTTGGGTTTTCTAATCATGTATGGTGAGGGATTCAATTCTTAGTCCCCTCTATTATGGACATTCCTTCATACCCATCAGTTTCATGTGGGAGGCTAATGACCAAGATATTGCATCATATATGCTTCTCTTCATGACCTCCCACACCTCTCTTGCTTTGATTTGAAAAATTCAACGGTCATCCTTCCATGTTTGCCACAGGATTAAAAGGAAAATATGTCATGATAATGTGCCCTCTCTATCCACATCATCAATGGCCATTCGTCACAATGATTCAGCAACTTCACTGACCCAATCCAAGAAACTCCAAATAGGTTACATGGCCCCACTACACCACAACAAAGTAGAGAATGGACCATCATCTCCTAGTCTTCTCTCTTGAGTTCTCTACTCTCTTCGTCTCCTTTTCCTTTGCAGATACTTTTGGCGATTATTGGTTTTCTTACTGCTAGCTTTGGTTTGTGGCACATATCTTGCAGTACGTGGAAGATGCAAATATGGCAAGCCCGTTTATTTCATACTCTCTTTTTCCCCCTCTCTTTCGCTTCCTTTCTCTCTCCTCCTTTCTTCAAATTTCTCCCCATTCTCTCTTCTGATTCTCTTCCTCCTCTTACAGGCTTCTCTCCTATCACCTCTTTCCTTTTCTATGCTAACCCTTCTTTTTTTTGAATAAACTGGTAACCCAATTTAGGGCTGCTTTTTCGCCTTTTTCTCTCTCACACTCCTGGATCTTCTTTGATAATCTGAGCACCCATTTTGTGGGCCGCCTTTTACCACACCTTGTAGTTATTGTATACGGTTATTATTTATTAATATAAAGTTAACATTTTCCCCAAAAAAACAAAAATATCTAAGTCTTTTATATTTCACTTTACCCTCTCTGTGTCTAGCCCACTCCAATGACCATACTTGTGTACTTCCCTGTGTTTTCAAGAGTTCCTATAGCTCATTGGTCTGCAGTTTCTTAAAAATTTCAATAGAATTTAAGATTTTCTGTAGTTCATTAGTTTGCAGTTCCCTAACAAACTCATAATCTCAAATGACCTTGCACTAGCATTGTTAAAGATTCAATAAAAAATTCAAGGAATTCCATCTCCAAACATCAAGACTTAAGATCACCTGATCCCCAATAACCCAGAAAAAAGCAGCAAACTCACTTGCACTGTTCTGAAATTTTGTTTGGATTAGATACATCATCCGTTATCAGAGCATCTAATAAAATAACTAGGATGGATCTTCTTATTTATGATACCATAACAATTGCAATATCCCGACCGCGCCCTGCAAGGAAAATGCAAGTAATAGCTCTTTGAAATATAATATACTCCCAATTTCCCGCAATCAGCATTATTTTTCAGCAGTCACACTGATTATAGGTGGGAACCATTGCCTAAATTTGCAGTAATTGTCAAATAACCAAGATGAAAATTGAACTCAATAATCACTATCTAGAGAGATGCAAAACCGTAACAAACACAGGGACCCTCAACTGCAACCAATTCAAATAGTATAAAAGGGGCAAAATGACAAATAACGGTCAAAACAAAAGAAACTCAGCAGAGAGGGAGAGAGCAGAGGAGGAATTCCGCCAAATGCCCGAATGAGTAACAAGGTACAGAGAAAGAAGGGAGAGATAAAGACTTCTCTGTTAAAAGTAATACAGGAAGGGAACGAGGGGAACAAGGAGAGAGAGAATTAGAAAGATAAAATATGCAAACCTTCCCAATAATGGCCTCAGATAGATATAAAGAAGATGAAGACCTAGTAAGGCGTAGAGTAAAGAAATGCACATGCCAGACAGGTAAGAAATAGACAGAGGAAAGATGAAGACCCATCCAACAACAACAACAGAGATAGAAAGAAACCAAAATCACAGGTATATAGAGAGAGAGAGGCAAGATATGAAGCATACGTACCCAATATCTCCTAGAAAGACACTCAGCCAAGTCCTCTGTCTGAGAAGAACCAGACTGCATATGCCCTGACCCCAAAATCACAGCTTTACCCTGATCCTTTGCCCTAAATTCTGAATTCGAAGCACTGATCGCCAGGGCAAGCTGGACCTGAAATTCCTCCTCCGAAGAGAAGTAATCATTTTTATCCTCAGTTAATAGCCGTGAACCTGCAGAGCCCTCGCCTCCTGGTGATGAAGAAGGGGAGGGGCTTTGAGGAGGAACACCATTAGGACTCCAAGAAACAGCGGCTCTATGATCTGAACCACACGATTGCGCGGGGGAAGCGGCTCCCGGGTCGTTGGATCGAGGTGGTTCATGGCTGCTGCCTATATGAAGCTTTCTGAGAATGTGCTTCATCTGAAACAGAGCGCGATGGAGATGGAAACTTTTCTCTCTCTACCTCTCCCTCTCACTCTAGGTTGAGTTGGAGGCCTTTCTCTCTAGATGGACGCCTCTCACTATCTCTATCCTTGAGAACAAAGCTCTTCCCTCTTCGAGGTATGGAGATTTTTCTCTAGGTTTCTCTCTCCTCTGTCTGCAACGAAAGGTGTTTGTCACTCTAGGTTTCTCACTCTACAAGACTACACAACTAATCGGCCTTCTTCTTTCTCTCTCTACGAATTCGTAGTTTTGTCTCTCTCTTTCGCTCTCTGCTGTAAATGGTTATTCTCTCTCTAGGTTTTCTCCTCCATTCAGGAATCCTTTTTTTTTTTCTCGGTTCTCTGCAACAAACGGGTTTTAACATGGACAAACAAGCCAAAAGCACGGAGAGAAACATTTGTGCATTGAACATTTGCTTAACAAAGACCCCGATATTTTAGAAAAATATCGTAATTACCCTTACCTTTTCGATGTTGGTCGGCTTCAACGAAATGGGGAGCAACAAACTGTATCTCTCGATCTACCACGTACATCGAAAAATGACTAAATTATCTTGAGTTTTTGAATAAATAGCAAGACCACCCCACCATTTGGAATAGTACAAAATTGGCCCTTGATGTTCAATTGAAGTATATAATGAGAACATTTCTCCTTAAATATATATATATATATATATAAAAGGGTGCGGTTTGTAGAGAGTCGAGGCTCTAAACCATCAAATTGGAGCCCACCTTCAAATAGTTTCGAGAAATGTGATTTCAATACTAAAAGTATTTGTGATAGTCTTCAAATATTCTTTATCTCTAATTATAAATTTTAAAAATAATGTAGATTGAGCAGATCTATGAAAGCTTTAAAATCTTGAAAATTAACGGTCCAAAAATGCGTTACAAGATGCATTATTTCCAAAACTTGAAATCCATTTTTTTTTTCTATATCCATGCATCTTGATGCCGAGATGATCAAATTGAGAATATTTGAGTATCAAAAAACCTCTTATGGTAAAATGTTTTAGGTAGGCTCTAATGTGATTATTTAGAGCCTCGGTTCTATATAAACTTTTCCATATATATATATAATGTGACCATTTGGGTTGGTGTTGCGTCCACATCTAGATGCTTAAAAGGTGCACAAGTACTTTTTAATGGTTCCGATTGACCTGTATTCACCCAACGGCTAATAATTATTTTTATTTTTATTTTTTGTTTAAAAATAATATTAATTTGAAATTTTGGTTTTAGGTTCATTTTTATAGTAATGTTTTAGTAGAAAATTGGGAAAAAAACTACCCCATTTAATGGAAAACCAGGATTCATGTAGCCGATCTCAATTAATTGGAAAAAGACTAAAATTATGATGATGATATTTTAGTAAAAAAAAAAATTGAATAAAAAATATTGACCAACATAAATTTAGTGTTATTCTGATTATTTTAATTGAAATTATTGTAGATTATTTTTATTTAATTATATTTATAAAAATACAACTACACTCCAAAATCCAAATAAGTATCTCATTTAAATAAAAATAAAATAAAATACAAGACTAATTTTTGGCCATTGGATATGGCCATATGAGAGATGTACACATGGTACTTTTTATTGCAACCCATATCTAGACCCATATAGTATTCGGGTCGAAAATTTGGATCCATATCTAGACCTATCGGTGCTCGGGTTTACCCGTTTGGTCTCAGGTTTGATCTGATCCATTGCCACCCTAATACCTTATGACTATAAGCATTTTTTATTATTTTTTTGCCATTTTTTTTTTTACCATCATAGACCCTATGACAATGAGCTTCATTTTCTTTCCCAATAAATTTGTAAATGTTGTTAATATTGTGATAATATAAACGCGTAGTGCTTGCCTAAAGACACATCATTGCCATCATATACCCTATAACTATGGATACGGATTAGGTCTGATTAGACTCGAACTCAGACCCCGACCTGAATAGTATTCATGTCCAAAAATTGGACCCATACCAAGACTCGATATCGGATCTACCCGTCAGGACCCAAGCCTAGTTAGGTCCATTGCCACCTCTAAGTACAAGGTGGTCACAATTAATCCCTTAAGATAATATGCATGGCGTTTTGAGGACAAACTTCAAGATTTCAGAGTAGTGATAAAAAGTTCGGAGCAGTGCGTGGGTCGAACCGGTCACTCATGCATCCAAGCTTAATTGACCCACTTGTCTAATCGGCTCAACTTACTCAACTAAAACATTAAATAAAAATATCTGTGAACAAAACTTGAAATATTTGGAATATTTAAACAATGTTAAGGTAGTTCAAATCTTATTAACAACATTAATTTCAATATAACATACCATTTCCTAATGTTGTTTATACACCATCCGTTCGGATTCTCAATTCAGGGAGGGACTCAAACCGGGTGTCTACCAATTACACTCCGACTCATGTGATTGTGAGTCAAACCGGTTATTTTGTGAGAGTTGATTAACTCCCGACCACCTGGTCTAAAAAAGATAAGGATCTTAAACTTTCTTTTAACCCGTCATATGCCCAAATAAAGAAAGTGAGTTGTATCAAGTCGTAGTCAACGTCAAAAATCGCCATAACTTTACATAAATTTTGAATGCGCCACATGATGATGATGATCTCAAGGACTAATCCCGAATCAGCAACAATTGTTTCTGTAATAACTAGCAGGTAGTGCATATCGTACTTAATTCGAGTATATATTGTACTTAATACGAGTATAATGTTGGGCTATTCATCAATGCGTTCATGGTTGGTGGAGTTTTAGTAAATGACCCCTTCAAAAACTTCAACTCTTTATCGTCTTTTGATAAGCATAAATAGAAAATGTGGCAAGCGTTTGCGACTTTGCGTACCTAATTCTGTACTTGTATATGGCAGAATTGCGAGAAAATATATAGTAATAAGATTTATTTTTCATGCAATAATATTGTAATCACCCTTAACTACCCACCCTATGTGGAATCAAGTGGCAATGGTGTACCATTAGCAGTACTTGAAGTTAAATAAATTATTTGTCAAAGTTTACCCCTAACCGTTGATTTCACATCCGAGGGCTAGGTTGTGACACTTTTGTACAAAAAAAAAGAAATGGTCCATACAATAATCATTTGCCTACTTCCTATTCCTCTCTTTGCTCTCGTTTCATTTGGCTCCAAATAAATTATTATAATCTTGGCAATACTTCTTAAGGAAAAATTATAGATACCCTTTTTTCTCAACTTTTTATACAACCCCCTCTTTAATATATATATATATATATAAACCACATCTATGGTCCTAACATTTTTTTTTTCTTTTTTTATCATCATCCACCCCCAAAGTAAAAATAATAATTTCTATAACAAAAATTGCCCCCCTCAAAACCCATATTTTTGTACATTTTATATAATGAAGTTAGATCGATACACATTGTGCCAGACTGTATTCATTATAAATAATGAAATTGAACCATTTTTAATAATAATTTAAAGCCAATCTAGCATGCACTGAGTCATATTGATTTTATAGTCAATAGGACAAAACAAATAAAGAGAACGTGTGTTTAGAAAGGTATTTTTATAGTACCGTTCTACTCAAGGGATTGTAACAAAAAAACAAAAACAAAAAATAAATAGAGTTAAGTTAGTGATGTGTTTTAAAGATATTGAAGGACAATACCTAAAAAGTTGGGTAAAGGGGGGTTTTTATAATTTATCTTATTTTAAACACGGGGCAATGCTAATTAAATGGTCATAAATGAAAAATTAGAGAACTTCGGGGCACTAGTGAAGTGATTGTTTGTGGTTTGATGGTAATTTTGCCATCAATATTTGACATCGGAGAAACCCAAGTTCTGCAAAGGTCAATTTTGTCATTTACATACAAACTTGAGCCTTTTTACGACATTGCCCGTAGGGGTTGGGACAGCAACAGGAGTTGCTTCCAATGCAAATGAGGGTAGTTTAATTATTTTGGAGGTCATTATAGTCATTTTTAATGATGAGATAAGAGTGGCGGTCGGGTTGGGGCCTCACTGTGTAGCCGCTACGACGTGACGGACCGCCCTCTAGAGAGCCACGTCTTAGTGCTCTTCTCGACAAGTGGCAAATTAGATAGTGACACGTGGACTGTACAGATCTTATTACGAGTCCCCCGCTTTGCGGAGAAGCCGTGAAAACATTGATGGTAGATGTTATTTTTTTTTTTTTTTTTTTAATGATAACGATCCTATCGGATCATCTCGAGACTTTAAATGATTACCATTAAATTTGACGATCTTTATACGAGTTAAGTCGTATACACGTAAGTGTATAAAAAACTCCAAATGATCAGCATTTAATTTGTTACAATTTTTTAGAAAAATTATCACATAAGGTGGGAACTTGATTTTTCCAAATATTTGTGTCAAATTTAATAGTGATATTGCCTTACATACATAGATGTGGGATGTTCATTACTCTTTTATTCTTTTTATAAATTAATAATTTAGACCAAAAATCATAACTAGTGATAAATTAAAGATCAATTGTTTAATGCAAGCTTTCTACATATGCGGTCAAGAAAATGTAAAGCATCCATCTTAAAGATGAATGCAAGCAGGTATTTCATATAAAACACTAGAAACTAATGGCTCATATGATTTATTACTAGAATTATTATTTTTAGTTTTTTAATTTTATTTATTATTTCGTATTCATGATCTTCATGTTAGAGATTACATGTCCTTAAAAATTAAGTCTTAAAATCCATCTTAAAAATATATTTATTAAGAGGCCCGTATTCCTACATGTGCGGGCTTAGCCGCATAGAAACCGGGTCCTTAATAAAACATTTGAATGATTAGTTTCAATTGTTTTTAGATGGACCGTGTATTACATCCATCTTTAAGGTGAATGCTTTATATTTTGGGGACTACAATTGTAGAAATACAGTCCACACTACATGGAGTTAATTCGCAAGACCAAGACCTCATAGAAACTTTATCGTTGGAGGACCCAGTTTTTAGTTTTTAAAATGTAATTATTTTTTATATAATTAATTTCTATATTATAGATTATATGTCCTTAAAAATTCGGTAAAACAATCCATCTAAAAATATATATTTTTAATAGGTGATCCATTTCTACATGGACTCATAGAAACCGTGTCCTTACAATATATACTAATTTTAAAGCTTAATTTTATTTATTTTTACATATGTAGTAGTTAAGGTTGTGATAATTAATTTGCAACAAAATTCTATGAGATTTGAGATGGTACTTTGTTTTTTTAACAAGCCCTGTGTTGTTTGAATATTTTCTTACGAAATAATGCAGTTTCAATTTGGAACTATGAGTTCATAACACAATATATCATAAAAGGGTGCGATTTGTATAGAGCCTAGGCTCTAAACAATGAAATTAGAGCCTACCTGTAAATAGTGTTGAAAAATGTGGTTTCAATACTGAAAATATTTGTGATAGTCTTAAAATATATTTCACCTTTATTTATAAATTTTAAAGCTTAACAAATAGTGTAGATCTATAGATACATGAAAATCTTGAAAATTGATGGTAAAAAAATGTGTTACAAAATATACTATTTTTAAAAATTGAAATCTACTTTTTTCTCATGTCCATGCATATTGACGTCAGGATGATCAATTTGAGGACATTTGGGCGAAAACAACCTTTTCCAATCAAATTCGTTTTTTAGAGCCTCGACACTATATAAACTTTCCCCATTAAAAAGTAAAAAAAAGAATGCAACCTAAAAAAAAGTTGAGAATATTTTTAAATACGACGAAGTAAAAATTTTGATTATTATATATATATTATCGATAGGCTGCCGCTTGGATTGGTAAGCGCTGAGAGTTCTGGTCGTCATAGTATATGCCGTATAGCATACCATGACTTATTGCCTTTTACCGATGGGATAGTTTACGAATTATGATCCACATAACCATAAAAAATATGTGGTCCTAGGTTCATACGTGGTTTTTATCCACTATCCACCAATAAGTGGATGGATTGGACGGTGATGACTCCCTCCCTGGCCACGTATTTCCCAACAATACCTTACCTATATCAATGAACACCTCCTTCGTTCCTCCCAAGAATAGCTTTTCGTACCCATATTGTGCAATACATAAAGGAAAAGAGTTTATATAAGTAATGGCTCTAAATAACCAAATTAAAGTGCACCTCAAAGATTTCACTGAAAGATGTTGTTTTGATGCTCAAATATCCTCAAAATGATCATCTCAACCTAAAGATACATAGACATGAGAAAAAAAATGGATTTCTTAAAATTTCAAGTTTTCATATGTCTACTCGATCTATACTGTTTTTAAAACTTTAAATTTTATAATTAGAGATGAAAATATATTTTAATGATATAACAAATATTTTCAATATTGAAACCACATTTCTCAATACTATTTGAAGGTGCGCTTTACTTTGATTGTTTAGAGTGTTGTCTCTATACAAACCGCATCCATACATAAAAGGTGCAATATGCATAAGACCGAGGCTCTAAACAATCAAAGTAAAACGCACATTCAAATAGTGTCGAGAAATGTGGTTTCAATATTGGAAATCTTAGTAAAAACATTCAAATTTATTTTCATCTCTAGTTATAAACTTTAAAGCTTAAAAAATAGTGTATATTGAGCAGATCTATGAAAACTTAAAAATTGACAATAAAAAATACATTATTTCCAAATCTTGAAATCCATTTTTTTCTCATGTCCATGCATTTTGAGGCCGAGATGATAAGTTTGGAGATTTTTTAGTATCAAAACAACATCTTCTCGTGAAAATTTTGAGGTGTCCCTTAATATGATTGTTTATCGCCTCACACCTATATAAACTTATCCTATACATAAAATGCATATTATTTACTTTTGTCAACCCTGAGTGGTTGGAATGAAGTTCAGATGATGATGATTTACTTTCTTCTGGTTTTAAAATCTGACAATTTATGATGTAAATCATTGACCTTTAAAGGAATTGGTCAGGACCGAACCGATTATGGGATGGTAGGGGTCGCAACACACACACACACACATACATATATATATACATGAAGAGTTTTAGGTAAGTCATGCTAGCTGAGAGCTACAGTAAATGCCTAATGGCCCATATTGAATATGGTTATATATATATATATATATGTGTGTGTATGTGTGTGTGTGTGTGTGCGTGTTTTCTCAAATATGTCTAATATTTTCTTATGTGCCTTCAAATCCCAATCACATACTTGCTTTTACTTTTAGGTAAAAGTTTATACAAGGTTAAGGCCCTAAACAATCAAATTAAGACACGTCTAAAAAATTCAATAGAAGAGGTTGTTTTGATATTGAAAAAAGCTGAAATCCATTATCTCGATCTCAATATGCACATACGTGAAAAAAAAAGAGACCTAAAGTACGAGAAATAGTGCATCTTGTAATGTATTATATGAACCATCATTTTTCAATATTTTGAAGTGTTTATAGATTTGTTTGATGGACACTATTTTATAAGCTTAAATTATTTATAATTAAAGATGAAAACAAAATTTCAGACTACGCTAAAGTTTTTTGCCACTGAAAATTATCTTTGGACATCATTTAGAGGTATGCCTTAATTTGATTGGTTAAGGCCTCAACCTTAGATCCTTACTTTTAGCTTATTTTTTTTATTTTTAATATTCGTTGCATTACTGATTTGGACTGATCAGGATTGGCAATACAATGATCCGATATGGATTTATGGGTAAACGATCCATCCCCTAGATTTGGGTTTTAAATCACTGGTTTCTCCTAATAGAAAAATAACCTAATGAATTAAGGTATAACATGCTCCTAGAATAGCATATGTTTGCGCATGAAGTGATGCACATGTTCATACGTGGGTTCACTTTTGTAGATTGGTAATTTGACCATCACATTCATCAATCTGAAAATAATAAATACAATTTAAACTCTAAGTATATTTTGAACTTATTTTTACACTGTTTATTTTGCTTATTAGCCTCACTATTTTTTCGAGGCATAAACAAAAACTTAGAAATAGTGTTGCTTATTAGCAACACTATTTATTTGATGTCGAGATGATAAATCTGAAGATATTTGGGCATCAAAACAACATCTTCTAGTGAAATTTTGTAGGTATGCTTAAATTTGACTGTTTAGAGCCTCGGCTTTATATAAACTTTTCATTTTATTGAAACCAGTGTTTGAAAACCCAAATTGATTTGATTGGATCGTATATCCTGTGAATACATGTTGGGTTTTTAGATTGGCAATCCGGATTAGACATACCAAATTAAAACAAATTTAAAAATAAAGATTTGAAGGTTGGAGGTTCAGAAGGATCTAAAAAAAAATTAAATAAGCTTAAAAAAATAAAAATAAAAAGTGATAGGAGGGTCTTGGGGTAAACGAGGCAAGAATTGGTATCTTATCGGAACTGGATCACTCCCAAACGATTCATGATTCAGATCGCCTAAGTTCTAAAGTACTAATTGAAATTGATCGTGTCAAGATAATTGAAAAGACTTAAAAGTAAAAAAACTCTTACAAACACCGTGGGACGAAACTGTACATTGTTTTTGCCCGCAATTGCTCTCGTAGAGCTGTTGCAGTTTAGCCTAAAAAGTCGTAATGTAAAGTTATTGTGCACCGAACATACTATGTCCATTGTGGTAGAACCACAACAAACCTAATATGTCAGGTGTGGTCGATTTTTCCAAAATATCCAAAAAAAAATAAAATGGCAGCCACCCTATAGATGAAATCCCTGTCCATTTTCGGCTACGGAGACGCGTATACTAAAGTATATTGAAAGCGATTAAGGTCACAAAAATCTCCTCATCTGATTGTCTTGCTCCCAAGACCAAATTACAAGGTACTCACGGGATTACCATGTACTGGCGTTTTGGGTTGCTCCATGCGCTCCGAGGGAGAAGCGAGGGTGGAGAGAGAGAGAGAGGCGCGGCCACTTCCTGTTTGGAACAGAGGCGTGTTCTAGCGAGAGAGAGAAAGAGAGGAAGGCGAGAGAGAGGGGCTCGCAGGAAGAGAGACGCAGCACCCTAGAGAGAGAGAGAGAGAGAGAGAGAGAGAGAGAGAGAGAGAAAGTCATTAACCATGGCGAAAAAGCGATCTTCGGAGACGATGCTCCAGTCCTCTCCATCTGAAGAGAAGCCCAAGAAAACCAAAAAACTAGCAACCGAAATTGACGAAATCTTCTCTCTTTCCAAGAAGAAACCAAAGCTCGAAAATTCGCCAAATAGAGGAGAAACACAAGAACCAGCTTCTACTGAGAAGGGATCCACTGATACAGAGACGAAGAGGGTCAAGAGCAAGAGGAAAGAGAATGTGAAGAAAGAGAAGATTAAGAAGAAAAAGAAGGATATTTCTTCGGAGAATGGATGGGTCGATCCTCCTTCTAGGTCAAGGAGGAAAACAGCTGATGGTTTCACGGTTTATTCAGCCGAAGAATTAGGTTTTGGAGAGGCTGATGCTGGAGGTACCCCACTTTGCCCTTTTGATTGTTCTTGCTGTTTTTGATAGAGAGAAATGGAAGAGAGAGAAATTAGTGGCTTTGTGTTTTGAGTTGACTCCTGGCTAAGAAAGAAGGCAAGAGACAGAAGTTGGTGGCTCATGTAAAAGCTAGCGGTTATGAACTTAATTTTTAAGGCTACATGTACTAATTTTTCCTGGTGAAATTAGATGAGCTATTCATCAGCTAATAAGCCTAGATATTTGTATCCTTATGAACTATTTTAGGGTTTTGAATCTCTTAGTTTTGTGGATTTTTATTTTATTTAAATTCAAGTTGAAAACAATGGATTCGACCATTGAGATGCTTCAGGGAAAATTGACTCATTATACAACATGAAGAAATTGGAGAAAACCGGTTGAAAGGTTTTATACTGTATTCAAACTTCAAATGATTAAACCAAACGAACGGATATGAAATTTGATTAGAAGAATATATTTGGTTTCACATTTTTAGTAAAACTCAACTATTTCTTGCTAAACTTGTGCAAAAATATTGAAAATTGGTGCCCCAGCATATTGGAGAATTTACACATAGAAAAACATATTATATTGGAGAATTCATAGTGTATCTGTTGACTGTGATCCTAAGATGCTTTCTATTTCTTAACCTTTTCACTTTTTGGAGTCCCACTGTAGTGCCTTGTAGGTTTTTGCAAATAGCCATTTACCGTTTCGTCTGGATTGTAAGAGTAGTGTTTCTTGTTTTCTCATTCGCATGGGCTCCTGGATCCAGTAAGAATCCATGTTTATAACTTCAATATGTGATCATAAAAATGAAAATTTATAATTTGTTTTGGGTATATAATTGCATGCTGCTTCTATGTTCAAATTATTCCTCTTGAGCTTGTGAACTTATGATATTATACTTTCCGGTAGTACATTGACAATTTGAATACTTGGGGGGTGCTTAAGACTCCAAAAGAAGTTCAAGGGAAAAACTAGAGCATGAAAACCCTAAAAAAAATAGCTGCAAATAATGTACGCTACTCCTGTAGAAAATAACAATTGAAGCTCCTCCTTATAGTATCTCTTGATGGATTTGTTGTCTCATTTTCCATGATGGTTTTCTTGATTGCTTGTTCACTCTTATCTTACCTACTTTGGCATTGCTGTCCCTCTTTCAGCTTCTTGCTCTTCCAGTTCCTTTCTCTATCATGATTACCTCCTCTTTTTCTTTCTTTTCTCTCCTCTCTCCCCTTAATCTCTCCTCTCTCTACATTATGTCTCCTTTCTCAATCCCACTCTCTCTCACCTTCTCTACCATTCTGACTTTGCATCTCTGCACCATTTTAGTATTTTTACATTTCTTTCCCTCTAGATCTCTAAGTTGTCGACTCTCTCCACGTCTCTAGCATCTGCTATCTTCCTCTCCATTTATCAGTAGTCCTTCCAATGCTTTAGTTGCCGCCTTCTCGCTTTTTATCTTATCATCTTCAACCTCCTCATCCATTGGCCAATGCCCAATGGATACTCTCCTTTTGCTCCGGCACACATCTTCACCATAGTGCCTCCCTAATCGTACAGTTTATTTTCCCCTCGTTCTACCTTTGACCTTTTGCCTAAGCTTTTTGGTCTTTTTATGGAGTTTTCTATTTCTTCTTTTAACCCTTGGTTGTATAGGTAGTGCTTTCGGGAGGTGTGCAGTTTATACCCACCATGCCTTTTCATTCCTTTTCTGTTTGTACAGTCTGAGCACCCTTTTTGTGGGATGCCTTCTAACACTCCTTGTGGTTTTTGTAAACTATTATTATCATTAATACAGTGAAATTATTTCTCAAAAAGAGGAAAAAAAATAAAAATAAATTGAAAGCTCTGTGAACTATTATTATCATTAATACAGTTACGCTATTTCTCAAAAAGCGGGAAAAAAAAAAGAAAGCTACAGAATGTGTGAATTTCCTTAGTATTTTTATTCAATAAACTACAAGATCCTGGATGAATTTTATGACAAATTGGCTTATTTCTTTAATCTGATCATGGTTTAACTCGCAGTGGGAGCTAGTTGCATCAAGATTTTTGTTTTGGAAGAGAGGCTAAATTTTAGGAAGCTTAGATTAGGTGTATTTTAGAAAAGAATGGTTCATGAATGATGGCTCAATCAGGTGGATGATCATGTTTGACTACTGACTTTCTGGGTACATCCTGTAAGGAAAAACATGTACCGATGTACCTTAGTGATGATTAGGGAAAGACATACAGGGTTTGTAGCATTTTTAAATCTGCTTTGTAGGGTTAGCCCACATTATGCTACTGGTGTAGAATTATAGTATAGATATGTTTCTGTCTGCGAGTTTTATGGATTGTCATGCATTGTCCACATGGCCTTCTTGTATGAGTAAATAAGCCTTTGGTACTTATACAAGAAAGAAAGGAACATGGTTTGCTATTTGTTACTCGTTTTCATGGCTGATTATCATGCTTATGATCAGCTACTTGGCTTTCCAAAGTCTTCAACTTATTATTCATTATCGAAAAGATCGTATGCTCCAGTAGGAGAAAAATTACATTTGCCCCCCTTGCCCCCAATTTTGGGAATATGAGCTACTCAACCTAGTGACTAGCCTAATAGAAAAAAGAACACGCACCCTAGATCTACCTGGAAAAATTAAATAAAACATGTGGCGCCCTAGGATTGCACATAGACTGTTGAATTTTTTGATGGTAGGATCTAGGAGGTTAGGTACTCAAAATCTATTTTTTGAAGTTAGGATTGCACACAGACTGTTAAATTTTTTGATGTAAGACCAACTATGCTTTACGGGACGGAATGTTGGGCAGTCAAGAAATAACATAGTAATGGAATGAGTGTAACTGAGATGAGGATGTTGAGATAGATGAGTGGCAAGACAAGAAAGAATAGAATTCATAATGAAACATTTGAGGGAACTTAGGGGTGGCTCCAATAGGTGAGAAGATGAGGCAAAATAGATTTAGGTGACCTGGCTATGCGCAATGTCGACCTTGGGCCATACCGTTTAGGAGAGTGATTTGGTTCAAGTGGAAATTCTAAAAGGGCAAGGGGAAGGCCCAAAAAGATGTGGATGGAAGTAGTGAGAAGAGATATAGTGACCTATGGTTTGACTGAAAGTATGACCCTCGATGGAGCCGAATGGCGGTAGCTGCGGAACAGGATTCATGTCGCCGACCCAAAATAGTTGGGATAAGACTCAGACGCTGATGAATATATCCATGTAGTAATTCTAAAGTAGATCCCAGAATTTCAGATCATGAATATCCTCCTTAATGGGTTCTTTGCCTATAGTAAGAAGTGTACATTTTGTTCCCACGGGATCACAGTGTGCATACTTCATTCATTATGTAAGTTAACCATTCAACATACAAGACATGGAATATGGATTGGTAGATACACGCATGCTGCCGACCTTCAAGTGTGTGTGCATGCATATTCTAGAAGTAAAACTTATTCAATGCCCTGCATTCTTCAATGTATAGGGTCTCTTGGCTTTCGTTTTCTTTTCCCTCCAGAAAGTCTCATATACAGGCTACACAGGTATATAGACATATGGAATATGGATAGCTAGATGCACGCATACTGCCGACCTTCATGCGTGTGTGCATGCATATTCTAGAAGTAAAAATTATTCAATGCCCTGCTTTCTTCAATGTATAGGGTCTCTTGGCCTTTGTTTTCTCTGTTCCTCCACAAAGTCTGAAATACAGGATGCTAAGTTTTTTTTTTTTGAATCAATACAGGGTACTAGAGTATACTAAGGATATTAAGAGTCGCAAATTTAATTTGGTCGGGATGCCTATCCATCTCTCTCTCTCTCTAGCTGTTGTTCGACGACTCTCTTTGTAAGTAGTAAAGCAACTGATAAACAACATCCATGGGATAGAATTAGGGCTGCCATACTACTACTATGTGAGTATGCGCAAAGAGGGGGATGGAAGATTTTCACTATTGTACTTCTGTCACACATATCCTAGTCCTTGATGTGGCATCTAGCCAGTCTCATCTGTTGCACCAAGAGTTATCTTGATATTTCTCAAGCCATCAGACCGAGTTCAAATGTAGAACCTGTTTTCCTGATCATTGGATTGCACCAAGAAAGAGTATGATGAGTTATTTACAAAGAACAAGGGAGAAAGTGAGGTTAGACCTGGTTAAATTTATAAAAAAAAAAAAAAAGATTAAATTTATCAAGAAAGTGAGGTTAGACCATTTGTTTAAATGAGAAAGAGTGAGACAAGTAATGTAAAAAGAGTAAGGGAGAAGGTGAACCCCAATCATCCATTTAGATAGGCTTACAACCACCTTGAGTCCATTGGGGATTCCTCAGTTGTAAATGGCAGGTTTGAGTCCAACTTTGGGAGATTTATAACCTGCTTTGTTTAACCACTTGCAAGCTTTTATAGACGATGGACAAAACAGCAAATCATTTGCTAGCTTTAATACCCAATTAGAGAAGTAGAAGGTGAGAAAAGTTAAAAAAGATATGTGGGGTGTGGAGAGAAACTGAGAAAGAATATAGAAGATAGTTTGTGTACAGGGGGGGGGGGGTGAGAAAGTAGCTGAGCTAGAGAGAGGAGAAATAAAGTTTTGTTAGCGTTCATTATGGAACCATCCCTTACATACAATAAGAGAAAGGAAGGAGTACATTGCTAGCATTGTATATTAAACCATCACTTCGATCTTCAATTTTTTGAAATATTTTCATGCATATCTTTCACCTCTATTGCCCTCTCCATGGCTGAGTTTTTTCTTATTAGCTCGGGAATGGCTTGATAACTTACCATGTTCAAAGATTTGTTCAAAATATTTGATGAAGCTTATTATACGTGGATCTTTTTGGAGATTGAAATCGCAAATTCATTTGAAATGATCAAATACTAAAATTGTGATGGTCTCATCAATAGTGAAATGTCCTATGCAATTTGGCAGTTGTCTTTTATTCTGTAGATTGGAGCCTTTTGGCAACCTTCTCATGCCCCTATTGAACTCTCATGCTTCTTAGTTTTCAAATAAACATCTCTCTCTCTATGCCAGGTTGCTTAATGATTTGGACTTTCTATGTTCTCAACCTAGGTTGGGAGTTTGAGCCCCACCCTCTTTTGTTTGCGTGGGAAAGCAGGGATCCAGAACTTTGAATTTATGTGCTGGCCATAATGGTCTAACCTCTGATCCAAAAGTTTCTCTCTCTGTCTTGTTTGATTGATGTGCCTTTATCTAAAGCTTTTATTCAGACTTCCTCCATCAAGTGCTATAGATTTGTAGCAATTTGCAGGCTCACATTTCCCATGAACAAGTGTGGAAATTTCAGGCATAAATCTCTCTCTTTCTCTCTGGTTGGTAAGGTTGGTGTCATGTTTTCCTACATGTGCAAGTGGTCACATATATGAAATGGAACAGCGGCACGCAATGAAAAATTTTCCACCTTTTCAGAGCTCCGGGGTGTTACCGTTTTCTATCGGATTTCAAAAATCGTGAGCGAAGGCAAATCTTAGCCAAGAAGCAAGTGGGTGCATCCCTTTTTATATATATATATATATATATATATATATATATAT